CCACGGCCCGATTCTTTTCCAGTTTGATTAAAAGAGACACTGAATTAATTACAGCACAGACCTAACTGTTTACCGGCGATTTCCACACAGTTTGCTTTCATTAGGTCGGCGATGACGCCCCTAATGAAGATGATTAGCCCATGAGGGGCAGGGGCCGGTGGGAGGAGGGCCAGCCCGGTTGCGTGGCCTGTAGTTGGGATGCACGGCCTTGAAAGCCTTCTCCGGAGCCTGTCCATAATTATTCAAGCTACTCGACCGAACCGCGGCCGGTCGGAGATCCCTTTCCTACCTCCCATTTTTCTTCCTCATCCCACAGAAAGGCAGCAAAACCAACTGTAGAAAAGACCTGTGTGTATAGGGAATCCCTTTCCTAGTAAGAGAAAGAATTAAAAATTTTGTTTTTGGGGTGTTTTACTTGGGTTCTAGATCTCTCTTACACACACACACACACACACACACACACACACACACACGAGACAATCCTCTCCTGGCCTCTGGGCCTGCTGTTCTGGAGCAGAAGATTAAGCCTGATGTCTTTCAGAGAAGAGACCCGATCGCTGCCTTACTCGGAGGCAAGAGTTGAGCCGTGGGAAAGATCAAATTTAGAATGTTAAGGGGACCCACGGATATGACTGTGGCCCGAAGAAACAAAGAAGGCAGTGACCTCTTCATCCCCAGCCAGTAGCCTTCCTGGGGCTCGTGTGTGTGTGTGTGTGTGTGTGTGTGTGTGTGTGTGTGTGTTGTACCTCTAGACACAACAAAGCAAGTTTTGAGCTGGCACGAACATGACGAAGATGTCTAAGGCCAGTTTGGTAGTCAGCACCTAGACGTGGTTAGCCTGGGTTCTATTTTCAAGGCAGTGCTGAAAATGAAATTATGGCCTTTCCGCCTTCGTCTCCCAGACTCCGCTACCGCGCTCGCATTCCACGCCTTTCTGGGGTCAGCTTCTGGTAGTGCCTTTGGGGCCTAAGACCCCAAAGTAGCTGCAACGAGTGGGGGCCTGGATTCTCTGCGCTCAGCCTCAGGATCGACTGTGCTCCTCGTCTGCGAGAAGCAGAGCTGCGCACCTGTGCAGCAGGGGCCCAGCGGCCTGCCCAGCAGCTAGCGGGGAGCCCAGACTTTCCCCTTAGATGCACTGCTACCCCTAGTCCTGGGCCCCTGGGAAACTATTTGAGGCCGGTGTCCCGCTCAGCGTCGGAGGCTGCTGTGGAATCCTGGAATCGTTAAGAGCTGCATCCCGCAAAAGCGATCTCAGGCCGGGAGTGGCCCCTCGCAGCGCGCAGAACGGAAACTTTGTCCTTTCCCGGGCTGGGCCGGCGGTGGCCTCATGCCCCGCTCCCGCGCGTTCCCTCTGCTCCTCCCGGCAGATTGGAAGCGGCCTCGCCGCCGGCCGGGCCGGGAGCCAGGCCCCC